ACACAGACCACCGTGGTGTGGCGGTGTCACTTACATACACAACACATAAATATAATTAGGCTCTGTGCATGTATACAGTTGTACACGGACAAGTTCATAATGTTTATATCTTGATCCACGCGCTTCAGATAAGTTCTTAGTGTGGACTCTGTAAATGTGAGATATGCAGTTTTTTGTTTGTGTGCGAGACTGTATTTTGAGGTTCATTTAACAACAATTACGTCCACAATTCCCACAGACTGCCCCGCGAGGTTATAGAACATTTTGTAATAATATCTCATGAATATTAACGTCTTGTTGCTCCCTTGTGGATTTTGTGTGAAATCTCGCACTTTTTAACAGACGTGTTTTTTTCTTTCTACCTTTTACAGCCGGGGCATACTATCCAGCTCAGCCACAGTACTCTCCATCTGTCCAGCCTACACCGGTCATGATCAACCCCACCCAGCAACAGCAACAAGCCCCGCCTCCTCAGCAACCACCGGCACAGTCACAAGGCCCACCAAAGAGGGAACGCAAACCGGTAGTGTGTCCCAACAAAAAGGCAGGGCACCTCTTGTCTGAGGTCAAAAAAAAAAACATTTGAATGGGGGGTGAAAATGTATTGTCTGTTCAATGTGGAACTTTCCCTTTTACCTGAAAATAACAATAGTATTTTTCATGATGGGTGGCAGCTATAGTTCAGTAGTGACAGGATAGTTGCATGGTCTTTGTGTTTTAATGTTGGAGACATATATTGCGGAAACCGACATTTTCTCTTGTCTCTCACAGATAAGAATACGAGACCCCAACCAGGGTGGCCGTGATATCACAGAGGAGATCATGTCAGGGGGAAGGTCAACCACGACACCCACTCCCCCACAGGTAAGAAGGCTGGCTTGTGTTTGATCATTTAAACTCTGCTCGTGTGCACAGGATGCTTGTGTCTGTAATGAACAACAGAATTGTTTCATTGACTGTAAGAAAGAATTGAACGATTTAGTGATGAAGGTATAGTTTGTCTTATTTTAGAAACTAAAACTGCTATCAGCTCCTCTGTACTGACTTCAGGTGCTGTATGTCTGGAAAATAAAATCTATTAAAAGCACAGTGAAGGATAAAAAGAGCTGTTACTGATCACAGTCCAGTTTTAGACATTTCTCTCTGTTTTGACTTTTATTTTGTGTTCTGGTGGTTAAATGTGCTTTTCCTTTAAGTGACACAAAAGTATTTCAGTTTGTGCTGTGACAAGGAAATAAAAAAAAAAACACACATTAGAAATCATTGCTGTTTACATAATTTAAGAAAGGAGACAGAGTTGCGCTGTATGAACAAAGCTCACATTGTTGGAGAAAACAAAGCACCCCTTTGAAATTCTTTACATACCAGCTCCCAACTTGTTTATTCTTCACAAAGGTGATTGCGTGTTTTCACATCTTTGTGTTAAACTCGCATAATAGGCCCAGCTCAGATGGAGCACAGTTTTACTGAACTGAAAGTAAAAGACCCTTTATGTAATACAGTTCAATAACGCAAAAAGCTACGTCCTTTTAAAGTGCTTCAGTTGAATAAATATCTCTTTGACACAATTCCCACTAAAGTGATCGTCTTTATGAAGATTACATTGCAGGCTTGTGTTAATGAGTCACACTGAGTGTGCGTAGATGTTCCTAATTAACATACAATGTGTTAAACAGAATCCTAACTACTGCTTTGTGATTGCAGGCCTCCATAACAGATGTGAGTACTGCTCAGACCAATGGGGAAGTTGTACAGCCTGTCACTGGAGTGACAAGAAGAGGTGATTACATTTTCTCAGTTTTTGTTTTCCTAAATAAAAGCAAAATGACTGTATTGTACATTTTCTTTATTGTGTGATTATTTCATGCTTTCCAGATGAAAACGCAGAGCTCCCTGCTAGTGCTGAAACACCTCCACCTCCAGCTACAGCGAACACAGAGCCTGTGCTGGAGGCCAAAGAGGAAACGGACAGCCAAATAGCACTGCCAACTGAGCAAGCCGCACAACCTGTAGCTGCTCCAGCTGCTACTGAGGTGCCATCCCCATTGATAAAGGACCAGCAGCCTCCTCCTTCCCTCCCTGCTGGAGCAGCATCTACCACGCCTCCTGCTGAGGAAGTAAATAAAGTCACAGCTAGTGTTAGTGACACGGTTGATGCCCCTGTTGGACCTTCAGCATCATTAGCAGCACAAGAGGTACATATGAAAACGGAAGAACCTCCGGCTGCTCCGGCTGTTAAGGCACCAGAAAAGGAAGAAATGAAAGTGGAGGAAGTGAAGAAGTTGGAAAAAGAAGAGCAGGTGGCCAGCACTAAGTTGGAGCCTGCGATTGAGGTTGCAGCAGCAGCAGCAACAGTTACCCTTGTCAACATGGCAAAAGAAGAAACGACTGTAAAGACACCGTCTGAAGTTTCCCAGCCTCCCCCCTCTGTACAGGAACCTGCTGCTGCACCGACCCAGAACGCTGACCTGAGCTCTGCCCCCGAACCTGAGCCCACACCAGTTGAAACAGCAGAGCCTCTTCTCTCCAACGGCCTTCCTCAGGAGCCTGAAGAATTGTCTGAGGATATGAAATTTTCAGACACTACACCCCACATTAAGCCCGACACTTCTCAATCTCAGGAATCCACACCTGTGGCTACAACAGCAACACCAGCCCAGGAGGAAGAGGAGCAGCAGCAGGAGGAGGAAGAGGAGGAGGAGAAGAAGAAAGAAGAGGAGCCGAAGAAGAAAAGTGAGGATGCCCCTCCTGCCTCCATTAGCTGCCCAGAGGAATCTACTATGCAAGGTACAGTGGAGATGTGGCTCACTTGGATTTTAGCTTGCAGTATGTTTCACATTGTTTGAAGTGAGATTTTCATGTTAACACGTCGTTCTTTTCTTGAAGCTGCTACGTCTGTGCCAAAGAAGAGGAAGAACATGAAAGAGCTCAACAAGAAGGAGGCCATTGGGGACCTCCTGGATGCCTTCACAGAGGTGTGTATCAGCTCAGAGGACAGCTTGACTGAGAGTATCACACAGACGTGTTTAAAAGCAGTTTCAGCCGTATAAACAACAGCACATTCTCTCAAAAAGTAACTGAGGTAATTGTAATGCTTCTCTTCCTGTTTGCAGGAGCAGGTCGTCAGTCCTGTTTCTGAACCCTCGTCCACTCAGGCCAGTCCTCCAGCTCCAGCTCCAGCTCCAGCTCCAGCTGAACCTCCTGCTGAAGTGGCTGATGAGACCTGGGAGGAGAAGGAAGACAAGCAGAGCGCAGAACCAGACAGGCCTAAAGACACACCTGAGCCAACTGAGCAGAAATACCAGTACAAAGAAGGTAAGTTACGGCTTGGTGCAGTGAAGCTTTTGCACCTGTAGATACTGTGTGTTGGTGTAATAACAGTAATGTGAATGCAGTTAACATCCAAGGTCATTTTTAAGCAAAATCTCATGACTCAAGATGCATGTTTTTGAAGGCTTTTGGTCAGTTTATTTTTGTTTTAGAAATTTCTCTTGTTTTGCCTTTTTTGTGTGTTTTATTTAGTTTTAAAAATGGATTTTCTTCTTCATCCTGTCTTGCTTTTTGCGCATACAAATAGACTCGAAAATCACGTACAAGGTGTCATCCATAAAATTAAGACTAAAGTTGCGAAACATTTTATTAAAGAATTATTCTCAACACCTGTTTACATCACCTGGTTTTTGGATGACAGCATTGAAGTCTTAATTTTGAGTGAAATCTAATTTTTCTGTTACTTATTTTACTTCAAACAATGAACATGATGTGCAGATGTGCGCTTATGTCTTCATCAGTCTGACTGCATCGGGTGTTTGGTCGAGGTTTTTACTACTCGGATCCCTTTGTAGCTCCATGTTTTGCATATTATTCACCTTGGAAAATAACTGATGAATTCAGAGGGTGATCATAATATTCTGATCACCTGCAAATTGTTAGATCATTTAAGTTTCAATAGAACAGGGGAAGACCTGCCCACTATACAGCAGATTCATCCGTAAAGAATCATCCGACCTCAGTGTCCCGTTGAAGACACATTCATCTTCTGTTGTACAAGGCTGCACCCAAGTCTTAGTTTGAAGTATTTAAAGATGTATGTTTAATCCTCTGCATTCACATGTCTCCTGTCCGTTACTCAGAACAATGGAAGCCGATAAACCCAGAGGATAAGAAGCGGTACGACAGGGAGTTTCTCCTGGGCTTCCAGTTTATCAGCGCCAGTATGCACAAACCCGAGGGCTTGCCTATCATCAGTGACGTAGTCCTGGACAAGGTAGGGGATGATTTGCTTCACTGAAAAAAAAACTACAATTTTTTCAGAACATACATTCATGGTTCTGTTTTTGAAAGTTTGTATGAACACAGATGTCGTTGTTTTAACTTCAGGCGAACAAGACTCCACTGCGGCCTGCTGATCCAGCTCGGCTGATGAGTGTCGGTCCTGACTTTACTCCTTCATATTTGGGGAATCTGGGAAGCAGATCAGTGGGAGGACCACGAGGCCCGGTTAGTAAATTTCTCTGCCTGATCTCATCTACTCCTATTTTTTTATAATCACCAATTCTGATTATTTATGAATAAGGTTTCTTTCCACTAACTATTCTAAATATGCATCCTTTAGCCTGCTGGACCTCGTCGCTCCCAACAGGGTCAGCGGAAAGAGCCCAGGAAAATCATCAGCAGTATGTCCCTCAATGACGACGTGCAGCTCAACAAGGCTGAGAAGGCCTGGAAGCCCTCAGTGAAGAAGCCCACTCGCGTCCGTGCCGAGGAGGAAGTGGATGAAAGCGATCCAGAACAGGCCAAGACTCAAGATTTGTTCAAGCGTCTGCGCAGCATCCTCAACAAGCTAACCCCGCAGAAGTTTCAGGAGCTGATGAAGCAGGTGACGGACCTGAAAATAGACACAGAGGAGAGGTTGAAGGGAGCCATTGACCTCATCTTTGAGAAGGCCATCTCAGAGCCCAACTTCTCTGTGGCCTACGCCAACATGTGCCGCTGCCTTATGGGGGTAAGTCATGTGAATGTATTCGAATATTCCGCTTTTATCATTTGCTCCTATGATGACTTCTGTTTTGTGCCACGTGTCTGGGCCACTGAATGCTCATGATGGTATTGAGGAACTGAAGGAGCACACGTTCAACTGTTCCACTTGACTATAGAATATTTTTTAATATCAACTTCTTGCACCGTATGAATATTGCTAAATGAAAAGCTGCATTAAAGCTCACCATCATATTCAATGTCGTCTTTCTTCAGTTGAAAGTCCCCACCTCAGACAAACCAGGAGTTTTTGCAAACTTCCGCAAACTGCTGCTCAACCGCTGCCAGAAAGAGTTTGAGAAGGACCAAGATGATGATGAGATCTTTGAGAAAAAGCAAAAGGAGTTGGAGGCTTCCAAAGATGTAAGAAATGCATTTTGACAGTCACTGTCAGAACCAACAGTTCTTGTTGAGCCTAAACTGATCATTTGACTGCAGCGCTAAGCTCTAACACCCACTTGTGTCTTCCCATAGGACGAGGAGCGTGAGCGCTTGAGGGTGGAGCTGGAAGAGGCCAGAGACAAGGCCCGACGTCGCTCACTGGGAAACATAAAGTTTATTGGTGAACTCTTCAAGCTGAAGATGCTGACAGAAGCCATCATGCACGACTGTGTAGTGAAACTACTGAAGAATCACGATGAAGAGTCTCTTGAGTGTCTCTGCAGACTGCTCTCCACTATTGGCAAAGACCTGGACTTTGAGAAGGCCAAGGTAAGCGGAGCATGAGCACAGATGAAAGTCAGTGATGCTGATGAACAACAGTCTGAACACTGTGGGCTCAGTTGTTACTGCGATATAAAGACCTAAACCTGTATGGAACAGCACAACCATGGCTAGAAGTAGAGAGAAGACAGAAAATGTCTTTTGGTAGCGCCATAAATCTTTAAAAACAAAGTTGAATTTCTTTGATTACCTAATTTAGAAAAACTGAAAACTGAAAAGCATTTTTCCAAGTACCCACAGATGTTACCAATAGGGGGCTGCGATGTACTATAGACATACAACACACATTTTGAATTGGTTTCCATACTTCCATCAGAGGTGAAAAATGTCTCCAGTGACGACTTTTGTTTTGTGCCACACGTCTGAGCCACTGGTTATTCGTGATTAGTGTAACATTACTCATCTAAGTTGTTGCCTTTTTATAGCAACGACTCATAACAGCCACTCTTTTCTTTGTCCCTCACAGCCTCGTATGGATCAGTATTTTAACCAGATGGACAAAATCATCAAAGAGAGAAAGACCTCATCCAGAATCCGCTTCATGTTGCAAGATGTCCTGGACCTCAGAAGGGTAAATTCATCCACAACAGTATACAAAGAGCTGATTACAAGCAATAATCGTAGCGACTCGTACTCAGTATTCCTTTTAACTATGGCTGGAGTCATGTGGGAATCCTGTATATTGTTGGAAAATTGTAATCACCCTCCGTCTTTCCTCCATAGAGTAACTGGGTGCCTCGTAGAGGAGACCAGGGTCCTAAAACAATCGACCAGATCCACAAGGAGGCAGAGATGGAGGAGCACAGGGAACATATCAAAGTCCAGCAGCAGCTCTTGTCGAAGAAAGAAGGTGGAGGAGGAGGAGGAGGAGGAGGCGGAGGTGGAGGCAGGATGGGAGGGAACATGGGCGGCCGCGGCCCTCACACACCAGGAGGTGGCCGAATTAGCCAACCTCAGGATGAGGGGTGGAACACGGTGCCCATCTCCAAGAACAGACCCATCGACACTACCCGCCTCAGCAAGATCACAAAGGTAACGTCTGAAAGCTTCGATTTCTCTTGATGCACACGGTACAGTCAGATATCGAGTTTTATAGGTGCACAGTAAGAGAGCAATTCACTCATTCTGATAAGTCCAGAGTTTTTAGCATGACATTATTAGAAACGTAATGATCAGGATGCTGTTGTATGCAACATGGCTGTAATTGTAACTTCTGTTTTCCGTTAGCCTGGTGCTCTGGACTTCAACAATCAGCTGTTGGCTCCAGGTGGCAAAGGCATGTGGGGTAGCTGGGGAAAAGGCAGCAGCGGAGGAAGTGGAGCTAAACCTGCAGGTGGAGAGCAAGGTAAAAACATGTTCTTTGAAAAGACAGCATAGTTTTTTTTGGTGGTTTTTTAGTGGTTTGGCTCTCAATCCATCCTTTTCCCTCTTTGTAGACTCTGGGCGTCCGGCCACCAGCACTCTCAACCGCTTCTCTGCTCTGCAGCAGTCGGCCTCAATGTTGTCGTCGACAGACTCTGATCGCAGAGTTCCTCAGAGGTATTTAGAAAACGCAGGGAAACTTACTTCCATGGTTTAGTTCTGTTTTATTCTTTGTAGCATTACTGTTCAGAATAATTGGCCCATTAAGGTTTACATGCATGTTTATTTATTTTTAAATACACACTCCTCAGTCTCTTAATAAATCCTAAGTCCCCAAGTCATATTATTTAACTGTTGGTGAAGGCCATGCCATAAGTACATGCTCTAAATGTGCATCTGTGTAGTGCTGTTTGTATGCAAACTGATGAAGGCAGCACATTTTTCAAGAATCCTTAAGCGAGCGCACAGAATCCACTGTGTAGACAAAATGGAAGCTCTTCTCTGATTGACACTTCTTTGCTGCTCAGACAAATGAGTACTAATTAGTCTGTAGATGGCTGTTCACGAGTAATGTTTAAAATCATTCCCAGACAAGCCTTTTACACTTTAAGTTTTACTTTTTCCCCAAAAATGATTAAGCATTTGTGCCTATGGCCTGTTCACTGATCAGTTTAGTATCAGATTTGATGATGCAGCATAATAAATGTGCTCCTCCGTGTCATTTTAAAACCTTTCAGGTCAAGTTCTAGCCGCGAACGTGGCGGCGACAGAGACAGGAGCGAGCGGGATCGGTTCGACAGATTTGACCGCGGCGAGGGCCGGGAAGGGAACCAAATCACCAAGAGAAGCTTCAGCAGAGAGTCGCAGGAGCGCGGTGGGCGGGGCGGAGACAGCCGGGCCTCCACCGAGCCCGTGCGTCGCGTCGCCAGCATGACCGACGATCGGGACAGAGGAAGCAGAGACCGTGGAAGCAGAGACAGAGGAAGCCGGGATCGAGGAAGCAGAGATCGCGGAAGTCGGGACAGGGGTCCAAGCAAAGACCTCGCAGGTATAAAACCCAGTGAAATGAACAGGAGAAAGACTTTAGTTGTATCAGAATTATGTGAGTTGAGGAAACACAGGAAGAAAGAAGACTAAACTCGTATTTCGACCTTTTCTCCTCTGCAGTTAAACGTGAGAGCGCCCCCACCCCTCCTCCTTCTCTTCCCAAACCTACCATGTCTGAAGAAGAGGTGGAGAAGAAGTCACATGCCATCATTGAGGAATACCTCCACATCAATGACTTGAAGGTACAAACATGGCACCATGCAACAGTTAAACCTAAATGTATGCATTAACTAGTCGATGAGCGCTAACGTTATTCTCCTTCTGGTGCTGTAGGAGGCGCTGCAATGCGTGGCCGAGCTCAACAGTGCCTCGCTGCTCTACGTGTTTGTGCGGAACGGCGTGGAGTCGACACTTGAACGCAGCACCATCGCGAGGGAGCACATGGGCCTGTTGCTGCACCAACTTACAAAGGCAGGAACGTTGCCCACACAGCAGTACTACAAAGGGTGAGCAGCATCGCGTTGTTTCCGGTGCCTGAATTAGCTCTCGACGAGGCTTTTTGAGGAAGTAAAGCTGAAGCTTATTGTGAGATTGAGTGCTGTTTGTTTGTGCCGTTTTTAGGCTACAAGAGATCCTGGAGGTAGCGGAAGACATGGCCATAGATATACCTCACATCTGGCTCTACCTGGCTGAACTCATTACCCCTATGCTCCATGAGGGAGGCATCCCTATGGGACAGCTCTTCAGGTGAGGGAAAAACATTTGAGTCTAATCAAGCCTCAGCCTGACAGACATCTTTGGCCAATAGCTCTCTGTTTATGTGTTCTTTTTTTCTTTTTCTTTTTTTTAAACGCCCATGTACATGTAGACTAGGCCAGCAATGGATGCTTTTTAAATTGGAAGGTCCAGATATTTTTGGGGGAGTCAGCACATAGTGACCCTCAGTGGTATTGCACTTCCACATTAGCTTCAATTTCAAGCTGCAGACGTTGCCACCTCTTTAAAATATGTTAATTAATCCATCATTGTCCTCTGTTGTCTTCATGTAATCCATCTAATGGCTAATCCATTCATCCTGACACAGATGTCACAGAATGACACGATTCACTGCAGCAACTGAAAGATGTTTGAATGTCACGATCTTCCTTCTGAAATATAAGAGTTCAAGGGAAACATACAACTCACTCACTCAAACATTCCAGTAGGAACGTTTAAACAACATCAGATATTTCAAATCAAATCAAATTTTCTTGATACAGCATTTTTCATACAGTGCAGCAACACAAACTGCTTCACAGCATTTAAAAAAACAACATAGCTGTTAAGCCTTTAATTTGGAGCAATGTATAATTTTTTGCCTTAAGTAAAACTATGTTTTCATTAAAAGTGGTAATAAGCAGCTGAATAATAACAGTTTAAGAAAGCTGAAAGCTGACTCCAGTGCGTTTGTGTCTTCAGGGAGATCTCGAAGCCTCTTGTGCCTCTGGGGAAGGCCGGCGAGCTGCTGGCACAGATCCTCAAGTTGCTTTGCAAAGGAATGGTACGTACACGTCTCAAAAAGGCTGAGTGGACACCTCAACAGCTATTTCATTACATTCTGTGTGACATTTAAAAGTAGTTGACGCAGTTTGACATTTTAGATTCACTGAACTTCTTGTGTTTTATTTCTCTCCTCAGACCCCCAAGAAGGTTGGGGCTCTGTGGACAGAGGCTGGGCTGAACTGGAACGATTTCTTGCCCAAGGATGAAGACGTCAACAAGTTTGTCACTGATCAGGTATGAGAGAGACATTCACATTTTAGACATGAAAACACTCATGACAGCTGGAAACCTTTTTTTACACTAATGAAAAATTACAAGACTTTTAAAGCAGCTGTAATAATATTTGTCAATCAAAAGCGTTCATAGCGATGAACCTACAGAGACGTATCACACGAATTTGTAGCTCCACTCAGTTTTTGCTGAGGTTTAAAGTTTCACCTGTTAGTCCAGCTGTTGACCTGCAGCTGTATTGTTTAGGCCCACACCTCTCTGCACTTAAACACAGGAGGCATTTTCTTTCCAAGTAAAAGCTCTAAAATACCAAGTGTACTACCTGGTCAGCACCACAGTTAGACTAGGACTGGGCAGAGTGCAGTACTTACCAGCTTCATAAACTGATATTTTGACCAAAAGCAGAGTAAATCTTAAACTTGGATTTACCAAATGGCCACAAACCAGAATCTACTGCTGGGAGTGTAGATATGTGGGCCATGTGTTGCTCATGAGTTCACTACGTTTTCTGTTATCCCCAAGAGGAAATAACTGGTATCATGTCGCTAAGACATGTCTTTGGGCTTCTTTACATGCTTTATCTGCATTTCAGAAATTGGAGTTCACCACAGGAGAGGACACGGACTCAAAGGAAGTCGGTAAGAAGACGGTCCTCAGTGGAGAGGAGCTCAGCAAACAGCTGGACAGACTCCTCCAGGACAAGGCCAACAACCAGCGCATCATAGACTGGGTTGAGGTGAGATCACCAGTCGAGATTTTCCGTCTGGTTTTATGTCAAACTTGAACACATCGTGCTTGTTATTCTTCATTCCGTCTGAAGTTGTTCCTTCTCTCGAACCATGTTCAGGCTAACTTGGACGAGCAGCAGACTCCTTCCAACCAGTTTGTGCGAGCACTGATGACATCGGTCTGCCAGTCTGCCATCATATGTAAGTGTGACTAGCATCACGTAGAAACAAGAGCTCTGTCTGTAAAATGATCCTGTAGCTCTGTGTGTTAATCACACACTCGTAAAGTCATTTATTAAACCAAACCTAACAAAACACAACATGTGATTGTTATTGCAACCCCACAACAAGTGTTTGTTGCTTCTTCTCCTGCAGGTGACAACCCGTACAAGGTGGATGCACAGCAGATCAGCCTGAGAGCCAGTCTGCTGCAGAAGTACTTGAGTGATGAGCAGAAGGAGCTGCAGGCCCTTTACGCCCTCCAGGCCTTGATGGTGCACATGGAACAACCTGCAAGTGAGTGTCAACACTTACAATGCTGTCGACTCTACAGGAAACTAAAGAGAGAGAAAGAACTGTTACGAATAACAAAATAGTTCACTTTAAAAGGGTCAGGCTGGGACTGTCACTTGTGTCAAAATATCAACAAATTCAAAAGGAATCTGTTCAGGCTTTTGGTTATTGTTGATGTGGAATGAATTTGCAAATATTATGAAAAACTCCGTTTGCTCATTCAGTGTTTACATGCAAAAATATACTTTACCTTTAAATACTTATTTAGTTCTATAAGCATCAAAAGTTTAGCTTCTCACTCATCAGATTAGAGCAGCTACCTCTGATTTTGAGCTGATACGGCCTCGCCAGCTTCAATCTAGTGAAAAGAGCACAAGTAAAACACGGTCACGGAAATATCCCATCTGAAAAAAAACGCTGTCATTTTACAATTGGCAGACGCTAATTATCACTCAGTAATTAAGCTGATTGGAAAAATCAATTCATGTCACCGTATCTGCTGTTGTTTGTATTTAGACAACCATCTTCTTTCCGTCCTCTGAATTTCTTTATAACATCCTGGTAAATCTCTCTATTCGTCTTGTGTGTGTGAACTACTCACATCCACACCACAGTTTTCAGGTCACTTTTTAAGAGACTTCTATCTGCAGTGAAACCTGAAAATACAGCTTGAGTCATTGTTTTGCAGCAGCTCGGTTCTGTCTGCGCAGTGAAACAGCAGAGCTGCTCTGAAAGGACGTTCAAAGGACACTTTTTGAGGGATTTTAAAAGGTTTTTGACTTTGATCGTACAGTTGAATCAAAAGGTAATAATCTTAGAAATATTGTCTCCCTGACTACTGGCACTCAGTACTGGTTGGTATGTGACTGGTGTAGCTGTGGTTTTGATTGACTGTAGTCCTGTTATGATGCCATCCTCCAAACACAGGTCAGTTTTTTAACCAGTATCCCAGGTGTCCTTCAGTCTGTGCAAACAGTAGCTTCACACATACTGTGTCTACATGAGCACCATCAATGCAGCACCAGTCAAACAGCCTGAGCTTGTGTTTTCTCTCACATTATCTTCTTTTGTCTCGCCTGGAGCAAACTGTGTAAGAGGTCCAGCTTGCTGCACCAAACCGTCAGTACTTTCAATGTCGATGCTCGATCAATACTGACCTCTGTGCTCCGTCCCTGCAGACCTGCTGCGGATGTTCTTCGACGCCTTGTACGATGAGGACGTTATTAAAGAGGAGGCCTTCTACAAATGGGAATCCAGCAAAGACCCTGCGGAGCAAACAGGCAAAGGTGTGGCCTTGAAGTCAGTCACCGCCTTCTTCACCTGGCTCCGCGAGGCCGAGGAGGAGTCTGACAAGGACTAAAAGACTAAACTGAAAGCTGCTGCCCCCCTTTGGCAAGGCGGGGGCTCTGCAGGCAGCCGTGGAGTCATGGACAATATTGCCTGAGAGGCAGACTCAAATCAATCCTCAATGAGGATAAATCTTTATTATTTTTTCTTTTCTTTGAGGGATGGACTCAGAAAACAATCATTTCTCTCTAACCTCCCTCTCTTGCTTCCTCATTGTTTCCCCACCTGCTTTACACAGCAAGTGTCCTCATGAAATAAACTTGAAAACTGATTCAGCAGGATTGCTTGTTAACGAGGTGTGAAGTATCCCACGTCACTACGAAACTCTTTCCTTTTTTTTTCTCCCTGTCACAGTAATACAAACCAACGGGCTGCTTTTCCATCCTTCTAGACAATTGTAATGCCTAACATCCAATCCGATCTGCAAGAAGCAACAGCAGGGGGGCGCGTGGTGCAGTGGGTTCCCCGATACCGGGTATCATCATCATCATCATCATCATGCCATAACGTGTGTTCAATCCAAACACAGCTCTTATGTCTTTGTCCTTTCCTGGAGTGTGCAGCATGACTGAAGTGTGTTTCTATTAATGATACAGTGGACAAAACGTTCGTAGACAAAAAATGTACATGAACTAATCTTAATTTGATGGATGGAGTTTTTAAAAAGCAAAGGTTGTCTATTTTCTCTTCCTGTTTCCTACCATGAACTCGCAGAGGACACAGGACTGGTGTTGACCTTTGACCTTGACTACTAGGGGGTGGTCTTAATGCTTCCTCTAAAGCCATCCTCTCCCATCCCCAGTAGTGAACCACACTGACTGACTCTTCATCTTTACCTCTTCTGGCTGTTGTAGAGGACACTTAACGACCCAATCACCGTTAAAACTTGAAATCTACAGAAAATTGACTTGATGAAATATATAAAGTTAAAAAAATGAAAAAAAAAAAAAAACAAACAGAAAAAATGGGAAAAAAAACACAAAAAAAAACTACACAGAAATGATCCGAAAGCCTTTTCTACTTTAAGTGGAAACTCATTTCAGGAGCGTTCTGTAAATATATAATAATNGGGAAAAAAACCACAAAAAAAAACTACACAGAAATGATCCGAAAGCCTTTTCTACTTTAAGTGGAAACTCATTTCAGGAGCGTTCTGTAAATATATAATAATGATAATAATAAAAAACTTTTTTTTTTTTCAGTTTTATTTTTCAGAAACAATAAATTGCTGATGTAATTGCAGTGTCTCCTTTTCCAACAGAAACCACAGTTGTCCAGATGCAGAGAGATGCTTTAGATAATCCATTGATTATTAGTTTTATTGGAATTTTGTAAATATTTTCTTTTTTTTTTTTTTTTTGCTTTCTTTATTTAAGAAATTATTGCTTCTTTTGCATCGGAAACTGGAAAGTTGAGGTTAACGGAACATTGCAAAAATAAAGAACTTATTAAGTTGCCGAGCAGAGTTGTGTGTGTGTGTGTGTGTGTGAGAAACGTGTCGGGTTCCTCTGTGATTTGGCTTTTTTGTACCCGAAGACGCTCCCTTCTCACGCTGACCTCGTTAAGCAGATCAGGTGTCGGCTCTGACTTTACCGGTCCACATTAAACACAGTTTCTAGGTCGTAAAAAATTGATGGCTCTGCTATTCGTTCATTCAGGCGCTGTCAGCTGCAGTGTGTGTAAAATTTTTTGGGGGGAGGGAGAGCAGCAGGTGAGTATTCAGCGTCTGTGAAACTAACTAGTGCCTTCCTGTGGAGTGGAGGCCAGTTTCACCCACTGGGGGGAAAATGCCCCCGGTGACCCTCTCCTGTCTGAACCCGGCTGCCACCACAAACCTGTACAGTCCACACAGAGCTTAATCAGGACTTGTTTTGTTATTACTTTGTAGTGTATAGAATGTTCATCACAATTTCCCAGAACTAGAGACTGATTCATTTCTAACTGGCTGTATAACAACACTGATTCCCATATAGCGCCTACAGATAAGAAAAAAAAAACCATGAGGCTTTCTGAGGTCACAAGGTTGTTGTCCTTAACCTCACGTCATGGCTAGTATTAGGGATTATTAGGGGTATGTTTGTTTGGATTTTTGTTTATGATATTTGATTATCAGAAATCAAATCTAATTAATTGAAAAGGACTGCAGAATATTACATTTATACCCTTTTTTTTTTTTTTTTTAATCCTGTAAAAAATATCAAAAAATGAACATTTAGCAACAGGGATGGTATAAAAAATTACAAAAACTACAATACTAACATTTAAAAACTGCAATGATAATAAAAAAAAATCTGTAAAATACTTGGATTTCTTGCTGCTGTAAACACATTAAAACTGTAATTTTCTAGTTTAATATTAATGAAAATCCCCCCTCCTTGATGAGGGTATTATTTGCAGGTTTTTTTTTTCTGCAGTCAACATGTACATTTATAATGTTTTCCTTGATTTTTCCAAATACCTGAAATTTAATGAAACAGGAAAAATCTGTGGAATAACAGTTTTTATAAAGGTATTTAGAATTTTTTAACTCTTAATTCTTTTTCAAAATATTTCACTTTTTTTTGCTGATTTATATGCAGTCAAAACAAATTTCATGATTTAATTATCATATATAATAGATATATGAAGTAAATATTATTTAGAGTTTTTTGTACAGTTATTTTGTACTAGTTGGGATCTATTTTTTTGTAGCACACACATATATCAGCTAATTATCAGCTACAATCTGCTAATTTATTAGTACAGTGAAATTGTTTAATGGGAAAAATATCAGCTGATAATTGGTGATAGATCCTCTGTTTTTTGCATTTTGCTTTGTGTTTTTGTTTGTTTGTTAGAATCTCTTTTTGCCCATGTATTATTATTATTATTATTATTATTATTATTATTATTTCAGTCCTGTTACCCCAACATGACTGTACTTTGGATCTGTACATTTCCACTCCTCCATCCTGCTTCATTAAAACGACCAACAATCAGACACCAGATCAGTGTTTCCTGGAGCTGCAGGTTGCTGCTGGATCTTCTTGGTTGCACGTAGGAGCAGCAGCAGGAGGAGGAGGAGGAGAGGAGGAGGAGGTGGGGGAGAGACGGGATGACACCGCCTTGCGTTGATGACGCTCGCCATCGGGAGACATTTGGACAGCCTATGTAACCCACATACCGAGCAACAAATGGTGCGTCTGTGCCGGAGATGTAGCTGAAGCTCGGACTCGAGGAAGATGCTCGGCGCCAGTGATCCTCCGCAGAGGCTGCAGCGGGAGGACGGAATCATCTGTTGATCGGATTGGACACAATTAAGCGCATTATCATGAGCCGCCGCGGTCCGACTTCCAGGTAGGTGCGGAGGGAGAATCACAGGCGCAGGAGCGCGGTGGAGGTGCGCATCAAGGGCAGCGGCTGATCCGATGCAGGTCTGGAGCCATTGGTATGCAGATGGAGACCTCACAGGTCTCCAGGAGGCTGCTGCTGCTGCTGCTGCTGCATCCTCTCCGTGCGTTATTTCACCCTCCATAGTTGCAGCTCATCAATGGCGGGGTGATGCGTTATTCAGCGTGTCGCTTCTGCTGCTTGAATGCACCATTTCCAAAAAAAAAAAAAAAAAAAAAAAAAAAAAAAAAAGCATCACATCCCAGCACTGCAGCTCCCTCCGTTCAGTCAGAGCTGGAGGTGTTTGGCTGCAGGCTGAACTCGATCCCACTTGTTGGCTCCATGAGTCCCAGTCAGGCTCTGTGCAGGTGTCATCAGACGAGATGTGTGCAGACATGCGTGCGTTCATGTCAAGAAGTCGCCACACTGGTGGGTTTTCTGCAGAGAGTGGGCAAAATAATGACAAAAAAAAAGGACTTGAAGCAACTTAATTCCAGCAGCAGCAGCGCGTGTGGTGGTTATTAGGATGGATGCTGATTAGCAGCGTTTGCCAGATGCAGAAGAGGGCTGCTGGCAATCAGCGTGATGAAGAGAGAGTTTTTTAAAAAAAGCAGCATCACACAATTAACAGCTCCAGAGAGGCCAAATCACGAGCAGGTGCACTGGTGAAGAAAAGAAAGTATGAAGGGAAGCAGCTTAAAACAAAAAAAATGTTAATGAATACATCATAAAGATTATATCAGGTGTTTCATTTAATGTTTGAAAACAGTGAAAATGTCAAAAACATATTTAATTTACACTGACAGAGAATCCTCTAGTGAACTTATGCTTATTAGTCACTTATTGCTTATCAGGATTTGTTTTCATTTCCCTCCATCAGCTGGCTAATATTAAAAAATAAAAAAATAAAAAAAATGCATCAACAGATTAACAGAGACCCAGTGAGAGGGATGTGACCTACATGTGTTGTACAGCAGTGGTTCCCACCCTGGGAGTGGGTCACAAGACAAATCTGAGGGGTCACAGGAGGATTAATGGGATAGCAAGGCAGGAGAAAACAGTGTTTTTACCATCAATGTATGCTCCTTTTTACTGTCACCTCGTGTGTGTGTGCTAGAAAATATGTAAATGCAGTGAAGGAGGAGGACAGAATCAGTGATGTCGCTCCATGTTGAGGCAAACATGAGAAGCTTGGGGAGGGGAACCACTGGAATACAATACAAGTGTTGCTAATTTGCATATGACCCACTATAATCCATGTTTCCGGCAGCGGCTGCAATTTTTTTATTTTTATTTTTATTTAGGTTAAAGTGAAAGCCGATTCCTATTAAGTGTGGCTTATTGTGTCTGCATGATTAAAGAGGAGGGGGCGGTGTGTGATGCTGTCTGTCTGACTCTCAGGAGGGAGCTCCACATGCCCGACATGTGTTGTGTTTATCAGCAGCACCAGTGACGTCTCACAGGTGTGCTGTGCAGCTGAAGCCCTCCTCTGAACGTCACCTGGGCCTCGTATCGCCTCCTCTCAGAGTCCCCCACCTGCCAGTTTGACTTTGACACACATTCCCTGTCATGTTTGACTCCTGTGTAAGCCGCCGCCAGGAGCCTCTTCTTTCTCAGCCGCTTTGGGAGCCAATCTGCTTAAGAATATCTGTCAAGTCAGGCACGTGCCTGCAGATGTGTTCAGGCTACATGTTGCCTCCTTGTTGAAAGTCAGCAGAGACATCCTCCAAACCTCTCTTGTTGCTGCAGCTGCTGTGGCCACAGACTGAGCTGACCCGTCAGATGTGCTCAGCGTAGTCATGCGTGTTTGTTTTGGACCTTCAGTTAGTTAGGTAGTGCTATCACTTTTAATCTGCAGCTTTGTAGTGAGCAGGCCTGGCAGGAGCTGCTTACCGGAGCTGGACGCACGCCATATGTTTGCCCGGTCGCATGGAGACTGTGGTCACTGCCCTCTCCTCCCTCCAACCCCAGTCATTCTAACCGGTTTCACCGGCTTACCATGGCTTTAGCATCTGTGCAGTAAATTTAGGGCATAGCTGTTTGCTTGTCTGTGTGGTGGTTTAAACCAGAGAAGCCACACTGTGATTGTTAGTTGTGTCGGTTCGCTGCGCTGAGACACCATCTCTGCATGTCCACGATGAGGCTGAGGTCCAGGAGTAGAGACAGACGGGAGAGGCAAAGAGAGGAGGAGGTAGGAGGAAGACTCTTTCAAACAGTTTAGAGCTCCACATGTAGGCCACAGCTGTGTGTTTGTCAGCGTGTGTTGTTTATTTGAATTTTCATGCTGTTTGAATGTTTCTCACAAAACCTGGACAGGGACAATATTGGCAATGCAAGCAGTGTTTGTGGGAATACTGACATAGCTGACTAGTGCTGCACAAAGGGAGAAACAGTTTGCATATTTGTGTCTTTGATAAAAATCTAATCTTGTCTTTCAGGTGAAATTTGAGGAGATTGAAATGATTCCAAAGTCAGGAAAATCTCCAGCAGACTCACGGAAAGGTGTCGGCATCCACGAGTTTGCGGCGCTCGCCAGATCCTCCTTAAATGGTGAAGAGCTTTATCTATTTTTTATTCTTCAAATCAAATCAAGTTTATTGTCATTTTGCTGTACAGGCAAGATGAGAGAGCGTTTCTTCAGGATCCAATAACTTAAAGCAATTTAAATAAACAAGTGTTTGCATGTCTGGATCAGCAGCTCAGCATTCTGACAGCTTGTAGCATGAAGCTGTTGATCAGTCTGAAGGTTCTTCCTTTAACGCTCTGGAAACATTTGCCTGATGGTAGCAGTTCAAACAGTGTATGGAGAGGATGTGACGATGTTCAGTGTCCTGCACAGAGGGGAGGGAAACCCCGATGACCCTCTCAGCTCCTCTAACTATCCTCTGCGGGGCTTTTCTGTCTGACAGACTGCAGCTGGAGACATTCTTACACTGCGATTGTTTTGAATGTAAACCTCTGACCTCTACCTCTTGACGTCCAGGTATCTCCCAGGCAGTGAGGGACCATGTGACCAAGCCCACCTCGCTGGCTCAGGGCCGGGTCGCCCACCTCATCGAATGGAAAGGCTGGCCCAAACCTGCGGGACCCTCACCGGCCGCCCACTCCCAGTTCAGCTCCTACTGTCACCTGACTGAAGGGGAGAAGGAGGCTCGCTTTGCTGCAGGTATCTGACCTTTACCCTTTGACCATCATCCTTTATATCCAGTTTTGATGCTGTGCAGGACACACGTGCGGTCTAACCGGTCTGTACGACACTTGTCAGTTTGTGCGGGCGTCGTCTTAGCTCGGTTTAACTCCGGCATCATCATCTCCCGGCCGGCTCCTGCCTTCTGTCATGCACCTAATCCCCCCAGAACTCCTGTCTGTCTGCGGTTCGCTCCTCCCACTGCAGTGTCTCTTGGGTGACGGCTTGTCTTGGCAGCAGATGGCGGCCTATTAGACACTCTCCCAAAACACTTCGCTGCCCACCGCCGGTACAGCAGCTCCTGTTGTTTTGCTGTGACTCATCCTCTCTGGCGCCGGTGACTTGGATGTAGTTTGATCAGGAGGGAGGAAAGTAGGGTAGACAGCGAGCGTACGGCGCGTCCGCTACAACGAGCGGGTTTTTGTTTTCTCCACATGTGAATCAGCAAAGAAAGCCTGTCGACTGAAACGCTTAGTTGAGGCTGATACCAGTCTGTTAAATCTGAGCACTTTTGTTAAGTGTGCTTCATTGTTAAGTGCATATTTTTGTGTTTTGGACACAATGAGCAGTTTGAAGTTGCACCTTTAGGACACATCTAGGAAATTATGTGAAATATTGACTTGTGTGTGTCAAAATGCTGGTAGAGATGAGTACGACACTGTCACATAACGTCTCTGGTTCGATTCCTCAACTTTATCCATCTCTGTGAGCATTAAATGGCCCCAAATTATAAGAAAAACTCACAAACAAATGCATTAAAAAGAGGATTTATTGTACGATTTAATGACAAAACACCAGAACATTCAGATTTCCCTGGTGCCACTCTCATACATTAATTCATCTCTCATAAGATGTTGCGAAACAAGGCCCCCAGACATTATTAGCAGAATAACTTCAAGACTTTCCTGCCATGTTTGCTTGAGAAACATCTTTAGAGCATTTCTTCGTTTTAAGCCAAAAGATTTAAGAAGCAGCTGATTGATTGGACTTGCTGTTCCTGATAGGAGTGGCCGAGCAGTTTGCCATCGCTGAGGCCAAGCTGCGAGCCTGGGCGTCCATGGATGATGATGAAGACGAGGAAGACTCCAACGATGAAGAGCCCCACGCCAACGGACAGACTCACGCCATGGCCACGCAGAGCTCAGGTACCCGACGTCGCCGCCTGCTTGTCATTTCATCTCATCGTTTTCATTGTTGCATCATCACTGACAGAACGCCTCATCTCCCCTCCCCCTCCCCTCCATGGTCCATCCGTCTCCAGGTGTTCTGACTCTTTGCTCCTCCCTCAGACGCCGCCCCGTCCACTCTTATCACCGGAGCGCCACGCCAGCCTGAGGGCGACGGCGGCGAGGCCTCCGACAGCCCCCTGGGCTCCTGCAGCAGCGGCGTTGGCAGACTGCTCCGTGGTAGGCTGGACGACCCACATTCATCCCAGACCAACTCACCTACTTTACCCAGCGACTGCTTGAGTCCGTTCCTGGAGGAGGAGGAGGAGGAGGAGGAGGAGGAAGAAGAGGAGGAGGAGGTGAGGCTGGATGGTCTGGAGGAGCAGCAAGCTCCTTTGCAGGAGCAGCACAGCGAGGTCTGCATCCACAACAAGCCCGAGTGGAGGCCTCGGGCCCGGAGCAGCAGGTTTGACTCCTGCTACTCCACCTCGCACTCCGAGTCTCCTGGAGAGGAGGACGAGGAGGACGAGGAGGAGGAAGGCAGCGTGTTCCACGAGGTCCGGGTCTGGCACTGCAGGAGCTTCTTCTCTGACCGGGCGTCCTCCGGAGTGGCGTCATTCGATGAAGAGGAGGAGAGAGACGAGGAAGAAGCGGAGGAGAAGAAGGAGGAGAAAGAGTATTTGATGTGATGTGTCGTCCATCTTTATGTCTCTTTGAGTCTGTGTTGATTCTGGATATGACATAATCTATTCTGCTTCCACTGTACACCTGTCTACACCTCCTCCTCCTCCTCCTCCTCCTCTCCTTCCTCTGATCATCTGTCCTCCGCTCACTGCCTTCTGTCTCTCATCCTTCAGGCCTTTCATACTCTGATCTCACTCCACCGCTGCTGTAAACAGTATATATGTCGGAGAGTTCAACCAGAATGTAAAGCTGTTGTTCAAACTGAGTTTTGTACATTTTTTGTGAGGAGTCACGTGTCGCTATCTCATTGGTTTTCTATGGATATTTTGTAGTGTTGTTTTCTCGGGGTCATGCAGTGTCATGTGGGTTGGGCTATGTTTGATATCGGATGCCTGAATGTCCTACATATATATATATAAATATGATTTTTTTTGAAAGAACATTCTTCGCCGTCGTTTTTATTCCCCCCGTCCCCAAAAACACAAAGAAGAAACGTCTGATTTTTAAATGTGTTTTTCTTTTAAATTTAATCATTCACTCATGTACAAAAACAATTTCATGTCCTCTGAAAAATAACAATGGCTGTTGATTTCAAATGCATAATTCTCCTATGTACAATAGCGTGTACGCAGCTCTCATCCGTGTATTTCCATATGTACAAAGCATATACAGGCCAGTGCCATATAAAGGGAGATACTACAGACTTATTGCTTAACTAGATACGCTGCAAATTAGCTTATACAACCTCTACATTGAACTCCTTATACATTATCTTATAGGGCGAGCACTACGTCACATTTTATATGCAGACAAAAAAAGATTTCGACGTTAATAAATCGTTGCACGGATGTTTACACGGACAAAAAGAACAAAAATAAATAAAGAAAAAAAGGAACCTGACTTGGTGTGGAATCACATAAGATTGGAATATGGCTCAAAATTGTCGCTTGAAGCTAAAATACTTACATCCATTTGAAGGTCGTAACAAGGACTCACACACACACACTTTGCTCTACAACAGTTGTTGGACTTGTGGGTGTCACTTGGAGGGGGGAGGAACAGTAGTTACAGCTCTCAACATTGCATTGGAGGCCAGGCTGGGTCGCAGAGATCGGATATCGTGGTGTGAATATCTACAGGCCGCGTACTACATGTGTGCGTACAAGTGTGTGTGTGTTCTGTACAACAGCCAGTATCTTCCTGTAACTTCTTGTTCCTTTTTTTTTTTTTTGTCATCATGCTAGAAACACGCTAAATTCACATCGCTGAAAATATAAACGGGCGACGGTCTACATCGTCCTTATTGGATCAGCCCCTATAAAGCCAAACAAGGCTACATGTGCGGTAAATTATACTCATGGTAATTACAATGTGCTTCACTGGTATTCGGAGCCCTGTACTAAGCTTGGTGGACCTTTGGAAGCTGCCTTTGTTCACTGTGTGAATAGATCTCAGCTGACAGTGGATTTTTTTCTTTTGGGGGGGAGGGGGGCTGATATAAGATTATATTTAATAGTAAAATAATGACTAATACTGATAATGATATGCTGCGACATGTAACTCTGCCAAGACTGCAGAGCGTTGTAAGTAATGTAGTGTGAACGTCACCTTTTACTGCATTATTGGTGTAAATTTATTGCATATCAGCTGACACATAAACCAACAGCACTATATTTGAATATTACAAGCCATTTATTCTGGTCCTCTGATATATTATACCAGTGCTAGTGTATAGGTAGTTGTTTAAATTAGTACCATCGTGTGCTCATTAGAGTAATCTCTTTGTTCTTCTGTGCTTTCTGTATTTGATTTTTCTCCCTCCCCACCACCGCCATACTCTCCACTATGAGTCATTTCTGTCCTGATTATGTTTGGTGTCATGTTCACAGGATGGTTATTTTGGCATGAAGACTCAAATTAAATTCAAGAGTCTGAACCAAAATTTGAGCATGGTAAGGAAAGTTTCTCTCACACAGACACACACACACACACTAAAGATAAAGCTGTTCTGTATGTTCGTATTGTCAACAAATCCCAGGAAAGGTTCAAACTCGTGTTGTGTCTGCAGCCAAAGCCTAAACCCATAGTTTCAGTAGTAGTCTCTCTGAGTCATAAGCCTCCATTATTATTCAAAATTGACTCAAAACGCAATGAGCCACAGGTCAAGCGGTGCAGCGCTGCTCGACTTTATCCTCCTCTACAATAAACCGTAGTTTATTTTTGAGCCAAATCCCACGTATAGTAGAGTATCCTCCTAATCTACAAATCTGCAGCTTAAAATAGCTGCCAACTAATTCATCCATCCATCATCTATACACCGCTTAATCCTCACTGGGGTCGAGGAGGGGGCTGGAGTCTATCCCAGCTGACTCAGGACACCCTGGACAGGTCACCAGTCTATCACAGGGCTACACTTAGAGACAGACAACCAAGCACACTCACATTCACACCTACGGACAATTTAGAATCACCAATTAACCTCAACATGTTTTCGGACCTTGTGGGAGGGAGCCAGAGAACCCGGAGAGAACCCACGCTGCACACGCAAACGTGTCCTCAACGGGACGCGAACCAGCGACCTTTTTGCTGCCACTCCACCTTGCAGCCCCAACTAATTCACCACTTGCTATTTTGGTAATGCTTCCCAAAAACAAGCAGCTTTAGGAAATTATTTCACATTTTATACTAAAATAGTACATATATATAGATGTGGTCCTGTAAATACTCACTAGAGCAAAAATGTGTATCAATCCACAGCTGAAAATAGTCCCTCACTAATACTTTTTTTGCTCAAATCTACAGTGCCCAGCTGTTTTAGGACTTTACTCGGGCTTTGCTTTTGTTACAGCTGACAAAAGCCTATCCTCCAAATGTCCTTGTAACTGCTGTTCTCAAGCCTTTAAACGCATCATATTGTCATTGAGTTTTTAAGCTCATTCTGCATCCTCAAAACTACAATTTCCACTTTTTTACTTTATGGATATTTTTGCCACCTGCAGTGACAAATGACTCCACCTGCTGATGAGCATCATGTGACACGATTGAAAACTTCCAGAAAAGCTACTGAAATGGACCTTGTGGTGAAAATCTTCATCAACTCCTCTTTTCCAAACTTTTAAAATCTGTTTAGCTACGTTATTGTTCTCCAGCAGTTTAGCATCGCGCCCCCGTGGCCCTGTATTAAGATGGATAAATCCTTTCCCATAGGTTTTCTGAACAGTGGTTGAGCTGTTCAGAAAAGTGTCGCCATCTTGGCAGTGCCTGATACGAACGTTCAGCTAATCCAAAAATGAGCAAAGAGGTAAAATTGCCACTCAAATCAGCCACGTCCTTAATTACGCAAAACTTTAAGCCTAAATACAAATTCAATGGGTGAATTATATAAACATTTACCCCCAGTGTAGTTATTGCAAACATAGAAATCAGCTATAGAGACCAAAAGTGTTTTTTGTACCAGGTTGTAAACACATTTTATTTCTGCTGTAAAGTTTTAAATTGGGGTCTATGCAGACTGACTCACTGTTGGAGTCGGTCTCAAGTGGCCATTTGAGGAACTGCACTCTTCATTTTGAGGATGCCACTTTGTTAAAACCTTAAAACGTTACCCACGATGCAACTCTGGGTCGTGCTGGGCTAGTTAGCTGACAATCCAGCTTTGAGCCTCAAGCAACATCGAAGGAAAGTCAGGATGTGTTGTCGATTTAAATCTTTCGAGGGATTTGTCAGTGAAAATAAAAATATGAAATAAAACCAGCTTTATCCTTCAAACGGGCATTTGCTCACACGCTCACTCGGACCACAACAACGTTAGAAACACAGGCATCAAGGCTGGACTTGGAGGTGAGTGTGACCTCTACAAATGTAAGAAACGTCAACATTCATGAGGCGACGGTATGGATCTGATCATTCTGATTGATCCTCAGTGTGGGCGGTGCTACCCTCTCCCTCAGGTTCTGACTGGTCCTTGTTCAGAGCAGGACTCCCCTGTTCTTGCTCCGTTTCGTCCGGCTCAGGGGTTTGGGTGGGGGGGTCATAGTCACAGGCCAGCTCTGATTCCTCAGTGTGGGAGGGGCTGCAGTCAAAAGTAAACTCCGATTGGTCCTCGGCAAACGAGGGGCTTTCCTGGAGCACCAGCTCCGACGACTGATCTGTGGCGTCGTCGGGGCTGGCTTCAAACTGCAAATTCGTTTGCTCCGAGAAGTTGACGGGGATCTCCTTGTACTGGAGATCCGGCTGGTCCTCCACGTCTGGGGGGTTGGGTTCCCGTGGCAACGAGAGCCCCCTGTGGCGGATGCACAGCTTGTGTAGTTCCGTTACCTCGGACACGCTCGTGGTGTTTCCGCTGTCACGGAAACTGGCCAGTGGAGGGCGCACTTTCACTCCGGTCACTGTCACCGAGCCCTCGATGGCCTTACGCAGCTGGATGTTCAGAGAGCAGCAGAAAAAAAGACAGAAAACAGAGCCAGTGGGAGCAAAAGGAGAGGTCAAGAAAGGTGAGAATTAATGATCGTATTAATAAAACATCACATATTAATATTAAGGAAACACACCTCTTTGAGAGAGACCACTCCGACCAGTCGTCCCATGCTGGTCACGTAGGCATGATCCAAACCCAGCAGAGAGAAGATAGTGTGAGTCTGTAGAGGAGGAGGAGGAGGAGGAGGAGGAGGAGAGGTGGGTCATGGCCTGGATACAGACTCAGAGGGGGCTCATTTGCATTTTTGGATCTGGGTTATGTAAACTGTAATGCTGGGATCAGACTGCACCATATTTTTGCCTTTCAACATGGTCACTGTGTCAGACGAAGCGTCCCAGAGTCATAAATCCAGACCAGCCCTTCGCAGCTGGCCGTGTTTTATGACTTGTATGAGCTGTTGCCAAAGACTTGCGTGGGACCGACTTTACAGTTTCATGTGATAACAAAACACACAATTACAGTTTACAGGTGCAGCGTTCGGATGCAGAGGCTGTGATTGATTTGGTGTAATTCTCTTGACGTCAGGTG